TTTAGGTGGAAAACCAACAGTGCAAGTGCATCCGATGCCATCGAGCCTGCCACATAGCGTTAGCAGCAGCAGTATTCCTTCGATGCATCCTGCCTCATGCACAACAACCAACAATAACAATCCGGATATTGTTCCGGAGAAAGTGCGCGAGAAGCCAGCTGTACCAAAGAAGCCCGCAAAACTGATTTTATCATCAGCCTCCGTTGAAGCTGCCTCGTTGACACCGCTGAATCTGAGCACATCAAGCCTCAATTTGTTCTCACCATCCGCCCAATCTTCGCCCTCCACTAGTAGCAGGTTTGTGGTTTATTGCTTTAAAATACCAAAATGCGTCTAGATGTTTTTGGTTTTGGGGTCTTTTGGTCGGTAAGGCACCTGACTAATAAGTAGCAAAATTCGAGATGAAGCGGTACTCGAAATATTAGCATTTCAAAACGGCTAAAACTTAACAAAACTACACATGTTGTGGTTGGAGGAACCGTTTTGAGCTGATAATCTCTCCAGGAGACGGATCAGAAATCGGAATCGCCAACAGCTGGACCATTGGTCCAAGGAACTGGAAAAATTGCCAGTTACATAGTTGGAGAATCATACTGTGAATTGCAGTTAGCCCAAATTGGGTTGTTTAGAGTTATGGCCTAGAAACTCTGGGTTGTAGTGCCTCAACTTGCAGGCTATAAGTTTAAGAGAAAATTTGCCGTGTAAGAAAGGCTTGATATTTTACGCGAATTTTTTCCTTTTCAGCTTTCGGTTATTTTCAAGTCCCTCATTTGTATGCCTTCATAGTGCCCTGATGGAACCAAGTTTAACGGATGAAGAAATTGAACGGCTTGATGCTAAACGCAAGCAGGTAAGGCTCGATCTTTGGTTTTGAAAAATAACCCAAAAATATGCAAATTCTTAATTAAGAATACCAAGACTACCTACAAATTCGCCTCGGGGATCAGCCCCTTCGGTGCTAAATTACTTCCAGTTATTACCTTATATCTAGTTCGATGTCAGAATCAATACTCCTTCGTATTATGCTCTCAGTAAGAGACAGAGGTACTCGGAAAGTAGCTCGAATGGTAGCAGATGCCAGCAGCAATCATCCGTTGGTAATGCTGTCGATGGCTCCCTCTTCTAAGGTTTACTTACGAGCAAGCTGATGGCAGGTTTGACTCCTTGGCATATGTCAGTACCAATTTGCCGTTGAAACGAATCGTAGAGGGACTGTTGGCCTACCGGCAGAATCGAACTTTGTTCGTTATATGTGCGTCAAATGAAAAGACTAAAATTCTTGGTTCTAGAGCAGCTGAATCTGAATTTTTGTGCTCTGTGCTGCTTGGCATTATTTTTGATCTTATGTTTTTTTTAATCCACACCACTTCACACATTTCAGTCAATGCTGTATCCGCTTACAGGTATTCTGCTTTATGGGTTTTAGGCTAAGGACGTCCTACTACGTTGGAATAACTGTTAAATAGACTTGGATCAATTATATGGTAAAACGTAGATTTTTGGTGAAACGGATCCTTTTAGCGTCCTGGCTGGCTTTCTTGTTGTTCTTTTAAAAGATCTTGGATACCGTTCAGCTATTCATTCCGTCCATCTCTTATTTTACCATATGAGAGGCCCAGCGTGGTCTCTGTACAGAATTTTTACCTTTACTTCACAGAATATGACGGAGTCCCACCGTTAATTGTGCTGCAACTTGCTGACATTTAACGTCTCTTTCTTCCGG